ATATATTATTACTAGGTTCTGCAATAATTTGTTGGTCCAGCTAATTTTAGCTAAAACATTAATGAAAACGATTTCTCTTATTACAGGTGGTAAGAAGAAACCATTGACTGTGAACAGTGTTGAGTCGTACCATGCTGGTAAAAGTTCCTCTGAGCGGCGACGCATACAGAATCAGTTCATGTCTGGACAACTTCGTATTGTTGCAGCCACAGTAGCGTTTGGTATGGGATTGGATAAGTCCGATGTCAGAGCTATCATTCATTTTAATCTGCCAAAAACGTTTGAGAGTTACGTGCAAGAAATTGGCAGAGCGGGAAGAGATGGGGAACCAGCACAGTGCCACTTGTTTCTGGATCCAGAGGTAAGAAATTCATAGCAATGTGAGGAAAACAACTCAAGTCCAGCAACTTGTGTGACAGTAATTCTGTCGAAAAATAGATTGAATAAAATTTTCTCTGTTAGATGTGAATCTACAATAAAGGTGCAAGTGAGCTAAGGTCAATAGGTCATTTGTGAAAACCTTTCCACCACCAGACTTTCTTGCCCAAATTTGTCTGTACTTTTTTCTTATATTCTTCAGTATTTCTGGAAATGAACCCTAATTTTGGAGCCAATTTCAGGTTTCACTCAATCAATTTTTTATCAATCTGAAGGAAAGTGCAGACTATAAACAGGACTATTTTGTGAAGGGTTAATAATAAAAGACTGCTATTTGGGATTTGTACAAACAGGGTCATGATCAACGTGAACTGAGAAGATTCATCTATGGTAACAGTGTCGAAAGAAACACTGTGAAGAAGCTGGTGAGGAAAGTATTTCAGAAGTGTAAATGTCGGCAGATATATCAACGACAGCAGGTAATAGCAATATCACAACTCATCATAGAAAAATTAATCTTCTAGCAGTCTAGGTGTTGTTTAAATGTCTACAGTTGGTATATACACCTGGCTAGGTGCTGTTTACATGTCTACAGTTGATATATGCAGCTGGCTAGGTGCTGTTTACATGTGTACAGTTGGTATATACAGCTGTCTAGGTGTTGTTTACAAGTGTACAGTTGGTATATACAGCCGTCTAGGTGCTGTTTACAAGTGTACAGTTGGTATATACACCTGGCTAGGTGCTGTTTACATGTGTACAGTTGGTATATGCAGCTGACTAGGTGCTGTTTACATGTGTACAGTTGGTATATACACCTGTCTAGGTGCTGTTTACATGTGTACAGTTGGTATATGCAGCTGGCTAGGTGCTGTTTACATGTGTACAGTTGGTATATGCAGCTGGCTAGGTGTTGTTTACATGTGTACAGTTGGTATATACACCTGTCTAGGTGCTGTTTACATGTGTACAGTTGGTATATGCAGCTGGCTAGGTGCTGTTTACATGTCTACAGTTGGTATATACAGCTGTCTAGGTATTGTTTACATGTCTACAGTTGGTATATACAGCCGTCTAGGTGTTGTTTACATGTCTACAGTTGGTATATATAGCTGGCTAGGTGCTGTTTACATGTCTACAGTTGGTATATACAGCCGTCTAGGTGTTGTTTACATGTCTACAGTTGGTATATACATCTGTCTAGGTGTTGTTTACATGTCTACAGTTGGTATATACAGCTGTCTAGGTGATGTTTACATGTCTACAGTTAGTTATATACAGCTGTCTAGGTGCTGTTTACATGTCTACAGTTGGTATATACATCTGTCTTGGTGTTGTTTACATGTCTACAGTTGGTATATACATCTGTCTAGGTGTTGTTTACATGTCTACAGTTAGTATATACAGCTGTCTAGGTGCTGTTTACATGTCTACAGTTGGTATATACATCTGTCTAGGTGTTGTTCACATCTGTCTAGGTGTTGTTTACATGTCTACAGTTAGTATATACAGCTGTCTAGGTGCTGTTTACATGTCTACAGTTGGTATATACATCTGTCTAGGTGTTGTTCACATCTGTTCAGGTGCTGTTTACATGTCTACAGTTAGTATATACAGCTGTCTAGGTGCTGTTTACATGTCTACAGTTGGTATATACATCTGTCTAGGTGTTTACATCTGTCTAGGTGTCGTTTACATCTGTCTAGGTGTCGTTTACATGTCTACATTTAGTATATACATCTGTCTAGGTGTTGTTCACATCTGTCTAGGTGCTGTTTACATGT